TCTAATTTTTTGGGAAAAGGTTTTTTTTTTTTGTTTTTTTTTTTTTTTGGGAAGTTTTTCTTGAAACGTGTGTGTGTGTGTGTGTGTGTGTGTGTGCTGCCAGTCTCTGTCCTAGCAAAGTCCGTCATTCTTTCTCTACAAATCTCTTCCTTTGCCGTTCTTTTTTTTTTTTTTTTTTTCCTTTTTCCTTCGTCCAACGTGCCGGTCACCACTCCTCGTATCTCGGGGTGGGGTTGGGAGGGGGGGATAAAAAGCGCACAGTGATGATATTTACCAGGAGACTGGAGTCCAGTACGATGACTGTACAGACTTGGTTCTCTATGAAGCAAATTGTTTTGGAGCCAAAAAAAGAAAAAGAAAAAGATGTCCTCGTTTGTGGAGGACAAGTGCTTTATTTGTTTCCATACCGATTTTTTCCTTTCGTCTAAACTAAATGCCTCCACAGCCATTTTTTTTTCCAAACACTGTACAACATTTTATGTAGTCTCTTTCTACACCCCCCCAGAATTCACAAAACACAGAAAAAAAAAAAAAAAAAAAATTAGCTAACATAGCACTCAGCCTGGCTCCCAGTTTGTGAAAAGGTGTAAATGTTTCTATAATGTTCAACTACTTGGAGAGAAAAAAAAAGAAGAAGCAAAAATAGATGTTAAAACGAAGGAAGGGGATGTAGCTGAAAAAAGAGAATGTGCTTCTAGGCTTGAATTGCTCTAAAAATATTACGACCAACTGAACGAGGAGGAGGAGGAGTAAGGGGGTTTATCTACAGAAACGTGTCTCAGATTGACTTTCATCTGGGCTTCTGCCACCATTTTGATCTGAGACGGGGGGGTGGAGGAGATGAGAAGGAAGAGGACGAGTGAAGGTCAGTCTTCCTGATAAAAAGGACAGTGGAAAAAAACAAAAAAACAACAAAAAGACTGGGAGGGGACTCCGGGCAACCTCACTGGTCCGTCCTTGCTTTCTTTGGACCAGTAGTCTTGCTATGGAGGGACACAAAACCAGAATGAGTCGCATGAATCGTTGAGAGCGTTCAACCTGAAGTGGGTAGGAGAGAAGATACTTACGTATCGGGAGAGGTGCCGGGTCTTTTGGGGGCAGGTTTTGCAGAGGTGGCATCTTTACCAGATTCTGTGGATTACAATTATTGGTTAGATTTCATCTGCTAGTTTGGCTCCTTTAGTCATGCTAAACTGGAGCGACTGTGTAGCATTAGCCATTTGTGTACATTGTGACTTTATTGTCATCACTTTCTCTGTACATCCATTTTACAATGAATGAGTGAAATGAACAGTCTCTGCTACAGGTCACGCAAATCGGTTTGCTTCTCTTGTGCAAAAATGCAGTTATTAACTCAAAACTGCATGAAACTAATTAAGGCTTAAGGCAAATCTAGTTCTTTCCCCTCCAATCTTAGCACCTGATATTCATGAACTACAAGTAGTTAAAGTTAAAGCTGCGTTTTTGTTACATTAGAAACAAAACCAACTTCTAAACGCAGCACTCAGTAAGTTGAATTGCTGGTGGTTGTTGACTGTAACCCGCCTCCAGCTCCTGTGAAGGGTTTTTCCCTCCGGTGTGGCAGAGTCAGAGCTGACATAGCACCTGTTTATCAGTGCCAGGTTGCTGATAAACAGCCCAAATAATTTTATTGGTCTACAAACCAACAGACACAAATTCAGCCTTTTTAGTTTTATTGCTTTCTATTTGTTTAACTTGACTAGACAAGTTAAGTTTTTAGGGGCCTCCCTTCATCCATTTCAGGCATATTGTTGGGCAGCAATGCCTTGGGCGTGCTGTGCTAATATGATGTGCCCTCCTATAAAGGAGCCTAATCAGCACTCTGTGCACTCAACCCCCCCCACCACCACCACCAGTGAAAATTGATTTGTATTGATATATCATCAATACTCTGAGCTGCACTTCAACTTCAGAACTACAACAGAATCCACAAATAAACATTCTGGCTCTCAAAATGTGTCTTTCTTTAAATTATTGGGTAGTTTTAAGTCAAAGTGCAAATATAGTTTCTACTGTTGCTGGCTGGGACAGAAAAGCACTCTCAATAGGAAGTAGCCCAGGGCCTGCATTTTTTTTTTTTTTTGAGGGGCGGCCCCTAAGATTTTTTTCTTTTTTAACTAATGTCCATTTTTCAAATAATACTTTATATAAAACTTGTATGCCCAAATCAGGTGAGTTGTATTAAAATTTGGGGATTTTTATGTGAATTAGGCTGGTTAGCTTAGCATGTGTGTTTGTAGGAAAGCTAATAATTTGATTTGTGTAATTAAATTGTTCTCTGATCCTTCACAAAAACCATAGAATAAAACAGAAGAAAAGGTCAAACTTCAACCGGACGATACTTTTGTGATAACACGACAGAGCTGCGTCTTTTACAGAGTCAGCTTCAGCCCTAGTTAGATGGAAAAAGCCCAATAAGTTGATAATTCTCCATTCTTACCCTGTAGCCATCGAACTTGAGTGGCGGGACCGTAACCCTTCTCATTGCGGGCGGCGATGCGGAAGATGATGGCTGGTTTAGTCGTGTAGTCGATGTGAGCGTTTGAGAGGCTGGACGACTGCACCAAGCACGAGGGGTTGGGTCCACAGTACACTCGCATGAAAGCTAGCTGGGCCGGGGTGGAAGCCTTGGCCTCAGCCGTCTGGCTGCTCTGGATGGCCAGGTACACCGAGTACTCGATTATTTTCCCTGACGTAACCGAAGGCGGCTCCCAGGTCAGGTGGGCGCCATCTGGGCTCTGCAGGTGACAGTGATGATATAAGGCTTGCTACTTAGCGGCTTCGGCAGGAGGTTACAGTCAGCTTTACAGGTAGCAACGAAATGCTTACCTTGCTGATTTTGATGGCACATGGGGCTCCTGGGAATCCGGGTAGGCAGGTCTTGAAAGCAGAAATCTCAGAGAACGTTCCACGCCCGCAGGCGTTGATTCCTGCCACGCGGAACTTGTACGCCGTACCAGGCTGCAGCTCCATCTTCTTCATCTGACTGTAGTCCGGTACGGCGCCGGAGTCGTCCTACCCAGAGGAACAACACAACATTAGAGGAAGAGTCTCGGTTAACGGCGCATCATTCCTGTCGCACTTACATCTCCTTGAGAATCGTCTCCTGGCACATAGAAGTGAGTGACGACCATATTTGTCACTTTTACGATCCCGACGTCAAACCACTGGTTCTCCTTTTTAACAACAGGCTTCACTGGAGCGGGTTGAGGGGCTTGTTTCTGAATAAATCACAAAATCAAAACAAAATCCGTTGAAACTTTTTGTTCTTGCTCCCTCAAAGCTGGTCCATCAGGCGTCGCTCAAGCCTCACCTCTCCCTCGATGCCGTTGGCCACCTCTGCGAGAGTGGCTGCCGCCTGCAGCTTGGCCGGACTTGCTACTGATATAGACGGTGCAAACGTACTTGATGGAGCCAGAGCTGGGTTGCGGAAAGAGCAACAAAAATTAGACAAATACAGTAACGGCTCAAATTTAAAACTTTTTAAGGTCATTATGAATGAAACTTAAGATCTGTATCACAACAGAAATGCACAAAAGAAAATGGCCTATTTTATACATTTGTAGTGCTACAAACTAGTTAGCGGCTAGTTAGCGGTAGCTCTCAGAACGAGAAAGAGCACAAAGACAATATCTGATCAAACGTTTGCCTGACAGTAAAGATCCATGTCAAAAATAGACTACATACACAAGACAAAATAAAATAGTCCTGTGATTAATGTATTAAAGGCCAACTTATATTTTTTGTAGTGAATTTAAGACATTTTAAGGCCTTCATTTTAGATACACAAAGACTACAGGATGTAGAAAGACTTACTCTCAGCAGTGGTGCGCGGTAGAAGGGACGCCACGGCGCTGGTGACCGAGGCAGCCATTTCGTTGTGTCCATTGCTTTCGACTGACGGGTCGTTGAGGCTGTCGGCGGGGGCGAGGCCCTCGGTAGGCATGCTGGTGTCCACAGAGGCCTGCTGCGCGGCGGCCTGAGCTTCCTGTAGCTGCTGCTGCTGCTGAACCAGTGCGGCCAGCTCCTGCTGGGTCAGCATGATGGGGATGTTGGTGGGCTGCTGGCTTTCCTCAGAACCATCGCCTTCATCTGGAAACACATTACGTAATATTTATAGCCACGCAGCCTGAAGCCAGGGCTGTCGAGATCATTTTTATTTTGGCCCACATCAAGATCATGGATGACCTCAAGGGTCGGTTGTGGCAGAAAGTATTGATAAAACCAATTACCAAACTATCACAACGTTAATAGCCATCTTTGCATTTGATAAGTTCTTCTTAAAGCTAAATAATATTGGAACATATTTTCATACTGATCAGTTCCTATAGGGTTTTGCAATTACTTTTATGAATTTTTTATTTTTTTTGCAATGCAAGTCACAGATTAAACTAATTTAAAAAGATTTGAAAAGAGGTTTGCAATATATATAACTTTGCTACTCTCCATATCACGGAATATGACTTGATATCAACTGAGGCTGCGGCAGCAGATATAGGAGAAGAAATACTGCCACCCTCAGGTGGGCGTTAGCAATCACAACACTTTTTTTTTGCAGAGAAATTGAGATAAACTCAATGTTCCACTAATTATCCATTAGGGCAAAAAAAAATAAAAAAAAAATAAAAAAAATAAAATCATTTATCTGTTAATTTTGAGTGAATTTCTGTCATCGCAAAATTGCAAAAAAACTGAAATGGATGTAATTTGGCGCCTGGAGTTGAGAGGTTAAAAAAATCATAAATCTTTGGCTGGATTTGGTCCCGGGTCTTGAGTTTGACATGTGCTGAGGTTTCCTCAAGAAAATCTGCCACGCCTGGTAGTAAGGGTGCTAGGGAAGTCCAAGTTAAAGAATATTAAAAGCTACAAAACTTTGGAGGTGTGTGTGCAGGCATTGTTACTTGGAAATAATTGTGTGAGGCCAATGGAAAGGTGCAGAGACAGTGCAATCTGTGCGCACACCTCGCACAGTCAGCTACTAACCTAGCTTAATCTGTTGTCACTGTCACTGTGAGTGGTGTATAAAAAACCCTATTTAAAATAAACAAACACCACCTAGCCTGGTGGCCCGCCAGGCTCATAATACCTGTGTGTATTAAGCTATTAATAATTATGATGCAGTCTGTACCGTAGCCCCTGCATACCTAAAATGGCCGTTGAGGGGACAGCGTGTACTCACTCATTACAGCTTGCTGCGCTGCCTGTAGGACGGCCTGGATGGCGAGAGCCTGGGCCTCCTCTGTGGCTGCAGCCTGGGCAGCAGCCTCAGCGGCGGCGGTCACGGCCAGCTCTTCGTCTGACAGCCCCGTCACCATCAGCGTGGTCCCCTGGGCCTCAGACATCAGCTCAGAGGGCAGGTTCAAGGCCGTTGCAGCTGCTGCTTCTCCCTGGAAGAACAAATTCGTAAAAAAAAAAATAAATAAATAATTTTTTTAGCTGTGATAATAAATTTAACCAGGCTGCCGCTGACTATCTGCATAATGTGCTTTACGTACTTCTGCTTGTGTCTCCATGGCTGCAGCAGGCTCCTCTGCAGGTGCAGCTTCTGCTGATGCAGGTTCTTCAGTCTGCATCGGCTCCTCCGTGCTGCTGGCTGCGGTGCTTACTCCTTCTGTGATTGAGGAAATTGACTGGAGGGAAACAAAAGTTGTTGTTTTTTTTTTTTTTTTTAAACACTCAGACCTGCAGTTTTTAAATACATAATTGCAGATGTCACACAGCAGACTGTTAAAATAAGCTGAAAATTTAGAGAAGTGAGTCGTTCCCTTACCGGTACTGAGGGCCCAGGGGCCGGTGTGGACTGAGTGACCGTGGTGATGGCTCTGCCTTGGGTGGTTGTAGCTACGCTAGTAGCTGCAGTGGTAGCAGCTTCCTCTGTGGTGCTTGTTCCTTCTGCTCCTTCCTCTGTCTGCTGGGTGGCTGAAAAGAGTCAAAAATAACACTTTACTTATGCAACTCAAACATCAATTGTGTTTAACCAGAAAATGTGGGAAACACAGTGAATTTGCTGTGTGAAGAGTGAAAATAAATGTGGGACAGTTTACGAGTTTCCACAAAGCTTGTTAATGCTCTGATCTGAAAGGCTCAGTTACCAGGCAGCATGTGCTTGTATTTAGCATCTACAAACATCAAGAAGTTTTGCCAGGGGCAAATAAGCATCATAGAGCTACTTTGCTAATGAGAAGGCCGAAGTCAAACGAGTTAGTGCAGTGAAGAGGTTACAGGCAAATGGCTGGAAGATTACTGGCTACAGAAACCTCCCCATTCACAAAGTAGCTTCATTAAAACTCATCTGATCAGACTGACATTCTTCCGTCAAACATCTATTCTAGTTACGGTTTGATGAACCTACACATTAACACAGGGATCCAACATTTTAACTTTCACAATGTCACACTTTTTAGATTGAAATTATTTTTTTTTCCCCTTAAGTTTTTCCAACACTAAACATTTTAGTACAAAATATTCTCACTTCACTGCTAAAATGCAGAAAGTGGCTTTTAATTTTGTGAAGTTGGTGAAAAGCTCCTTCCCTGCTTTAAAGGCATCTGGAATAATTTAGACCAGCAAAGTTTCAGAAATCAGCAACTGTTGTGTTTGAAGAAGCATTGAAAGACAATACATTTAAAATTGAAAATAGGCCACTGTGAGAAAGGGCTGACACACCCACCAGGTCACGTCTGCAAATGTCTGGCTAACAGTCAGTCACAATGGGAACTGGCAGATCAGGTTTTTAAAGATCTCCTTTAAAACACATTTTAGCAACTTCATTTCATTCAAACATCCATCCATCCCTGACCCAAAGCACAGAACATATGTCCATTTGAACCTGAATTCTAGGTTATCTACAACACCCTAAATAAGTGAAATGGTTCTGCATTTCATTCTGCATGTATACCAAGGTTTCTGCAGGTTTCAACAACTCAAATTTCTGACTTTTTAAGACCATTAAGACTGGAGTTTAAGACCTGCATCCCTACAGAAATGTACAAACTTCATCCAGCCAACTTCTGATAAATTTGCATTTATCCATGATAGATGCAAAAACGTTAGCTAGCTAGCAAGGATATGCTACCAGCTAGTTAGCTGTAGCTTCAACTACAGGCTACAGTTTGTAAGTCTCAGAAAGCAATGAAAAAAATCAAAACACACAGGATTCAAAAGTCCTGCCACCACAAAATGAAAGCCTGAGATTTCCATATTAAAATGGATTCAAGACATTTTAAGACCTTATTTTTAGACACATGGATTTGAGTCTTATTAAGGATGCGTGGACACCTTGGTATTCAGTCAACAAGTCAAAAACAGAACACTGACGGATAAAATGGTCAATTCAACATGTGATGTAGCAAATCAGATATAAATACAACAGTTTTTATTTCGGTAAAAATCAAAACAAAACCCAGCACATTTAGTTTCTCTGTTTACTTAACGCTAGCTTTGACATACCTGTGCCTTCACCGGTCTCCATGCTGCAGGTAGCAGTGGTGGCGGTGTTGGTGGTCCCAGTCTCGTGTGTTTCATACGGCGGGTTGGAGCAGACCCTCTGGATCTGGCCCGTTGCTGTGCTGCTCTGGTCCTCCCCTACGCTGGAGGTGGCTGCGGACGGAGTGTCGCTGGTCCCCGATTCGTGGGTTTCGCTGGGTGGATTTGAGTGGGCGCTCTGCACGGTGCCCGTCTCGCCGGCGTTCATGCTGGAGGAAGCTTGCGTTGCTGTGTTGGTGGTGCCCGTCACGTGGGTCTCGCAGGGGGGATTTGAACACACCTGCTGGGTCCCTCCCATGTTAGAGGTCGCCGTGGTGGCCGTGTTTGTCGTCCCCGTTTCGTGGGTCTCGCAGGGCGGGTTGGAGCACACACGTAATGTGGACATGTTTGAAGACGCCGTCGTGGCCGTGTTGGTGGTTCCCGTCTCGTGCGTCTCGCAGGGCGGGTTTGAGCAGACCTGTCCGGCTCCGATTGTAGCAGAGGAAGTGGTGGCGGTGTTGGTAGTTCCCGTCTCGTGCGTCTCGCAGGGCGGGTTGGAGCAGACCAGGGTGACGGTACCAGAACCGTCTCCAGTTGCGCCAGCCTCAGTGGAACTGGGCTGTTCAGAGGTCGGAGAAGCCAGAATGGACACAGGAAGATCCTGGACTGGCTGGGCTTCAACACCACTGGGGGTTGTGATCAGGGTAACCTGGGTGGGCTGGTTCTGAGGCAAAACCAATATCATCATTACATGCAAGTATTGCATCATTTCCAGCTCAAACTTTGCTGCAAGAGTATTTTTCATTGCAAGTTTTAAAAAGCTATTAGAAACGTGGGACACAGGAGTCTCACCTGCACCGTCACTGTCGAGGAGGGCAGAGTCGAAGAAGAAGTCAGACTGGTCTGAGCAGCCGAGACCGTGATGGCGGCTTGGTTGATCACCTGGCTGGACAGAGTAGCGATGTTCGCCAGCGTGGTGATCGGCGTCACCAGGGAGGCACTGGAGCTGTCGGCCGTGGCTCCTGCCAAGCTTGTGGACACCGTCCCAGTGACGGTGCCAAGAGTGGTGACTCCTACAGGAAGCACAGGTGAAGCGATTAAAGGGATGTTCAGAGGTTCCTTTAAACTGGGGATGCACTGATATGAAACTTTGAGCCAATATTTACCAATATTATTTTCATATATATTGCCATTTCAACACTGGAAAAAACATCCACCCTATCTTCGTAGATTCTCTTCCTCAGTTAAAACAAGCCACAAATCTGCACAGCTTCCTCATCACTATCCAAGGTTTCCCCCAGAAAACTTGCTAAGTCTAGTGGTTGGTTCTAGGGCAGTCATTCATCCAGCAGCAGCCTGTCGTGTTTTTGAGTTAAAAAATGTTTAAAGTTGACAGGAAATTTTAAAATATCACTTATTATTATGCATTATTGAAATATTGGGAGATTAATACTTGAACACCAACTATAAAGTCTTAAGAAATGCAAACATTTTAAAAAGACTTAAAAAATAAATGTTTAGCCTGGTGGGGGCACAAGTAAAGCCTGGTGGCCTGCCAGGCTTATAAAACACTGGGGGAAAACCAAGCATAAAACCATAAAAATATTTTGTTAAACATTCTTTTGTAACCCAACAACAACTCAGTGGTTACGAAAGACATGGGCCTCCTTACCAGTAGTTCCCTTGACAACCAGTGTGGTAACAGTGGGCTTAACAGAGGAGACCGTCACTGGTGTAACGAGACGAACACCGCCTACTGTGCTCATGGGCAAGGTACGCAGAATAGTGCCCGGCTGTCCTGGAGCGCCCTTTAATACCACCTACAAAAAGAAACATTTGAGCTCATCTTTGAAAAATATTCTGTTTAAAAAAAAAAAAAAAAAAAAAAACAGAGACAAAAAGCAGTTGAGAAAAGCTAGCTTACCTGCGTCAGTCCTTGCTGTCCAGCTGCAGTGGACAGTTTGGGCATGGCAGTAATAATTTTACCAGGCGTTCCAGTGGTCATTACCTTGGTGGTAAGGATCGTTATTGGTGTTTTCATGCCTGCACTGCTCGTCACACCTGCATAGATAACACAAGTTTGAGCTTTAGACAATGATTTATAGCAGCAAATAGCATTTCCTAAAGTTTAAGATACATTCAGGGTCAAGGGCTGGACAATAAATCAATGATGATATGTATATATAGATATCGCAACAGAAACATAATGTCAATGGATACTATCACCGATAGGATATTCAATATATAGAATATTCACTGAACTCTGATCTAGAACCGCTCAGCATTCTGGGGGATGTAGGCACAGGAAAGACTTTAGCACAGTGGTGCCCAAAGTCGGTCCTCGAGGGCCGGCGTCCTGCATGTTTTAGTTCTTCCCTGGTTTAACACACCTGGATCAAATTATGGCTCGTTAGAAGGCCTAAGAGGAACACTGACAAGCTGAAAAAGTTGTTACTACCACCAGGGAGAGAACCAAAATATGCAGGATGCCGGCCCTCGAGGACCAACTTTGGACAAAGTCACCCCTGGTTTAGCAGGTCAACCTCACATAGCAAGCTAAGCAACATGGGCGACATCAACTAACTCACTCACTCTTAGGTTACCTAGCAACAACCTGTTGAGTAAACATGTAACCGTCCCTCATAACTTCTTATAAATAAAGTGAAAATGGGGATAAAGTAGGAAATGTCACCACTGTAGGCTTTTATTGTTTGGCAGTATTACAATAAAACCAATTAATAATTATCAATATCAACTGATATGAACACTTAGATTGCGATATATTTTTCAGCCACATCATCCAGCCGTAAAAACATTCTTCTTCCCACCACCCGGCTACTAGTTTACTGTAGATTGTAAAATCAATCAGATGAGTTCAGACCTGTGGCTCCAGGCTGGGTCATGATGGCCGACATGGGGATGGTCTTAATGATGGTGGTACCCTGCTTGGTAGTAGTAGGTGAGACGCCACTTATGTTGAGGATCGTGGGTTTGTTTCCTGTGCCTCCGGCCTGGGACGTTGTGATGATTGTTGTGGGCTTGCCGTCTGCAGAAGTCACCAGTTTCAGGATGGTGCCGGCTGGGAGGGGACCCTTTGTCTGAGAAGAAAAGCACACGTTCAACGACTGCTTAGAGAAGACTAGGTGTCTGACTCAGCAGTTTTAAGCCATCTCTAGTTGTTTTTTTTTGTTTGTTGTTTTCTGCACTCATGCAGATAGCTGACCTGTATGATCTGTGTGAGAGGGTTAGTGGAAGCCTGGCCTGTGACGGCTGATGTCTGCACTGGCTTGGTTTGCACCACAGACATCATCTTGCCAAGGTTGGAGATCTGCCGACATAGGAGAGAGACTCAAGTTCATGAGTCGCTAGAAAGCATCGGACAGCACAGGGAGGTCAGGGGCAAGGCGGTCTACTGAACCCGCGGCTCTGACTTACTGCTTTAAACTGACAGTCATGCAAACAAATAACATTACACTCCCTGTTTTCTTAGTCGAGCTGTCCAACAGTCCCCCCCCACCACATGACAAATTTCACGTTGTCACAGTCTTGTGACACAAAGTGTGGAAGAAGGCCATTTACAGCATGCATGAAAGAGCACCAGAGGGTGCTTTGTAGATTTAAACCCCAGAAGATAATGTGGTAAAATACACGGTTTCTTACCAAAGTACCGCTGCTGCCCATGGTGAGCGGACTCTTGACCAGGGTGATGGTTTTGGTGACTCCTCCCACCACAGTGGTGACCACCTGGGCCTGCTGAGCCACTGTGACAGCCCCGGACTTGTGCACAGTGATGATCGGTCTGGTGGTGGTGGGAGAGGACGCGGTTGCCGTGCCCACCTGGGCCGCGGCCGTCTTCAACATGCGGGTGGCTGGGTTACTGACCTATGAAAACAAAATTACCTTTAAGCGACAGTTTGGGACTTTTGAAGAGAGCTTAAAGCTAATCCAGAAAAGGCCAAGAAAAAGGTGAGTTTTTGATTTGGTATGAAAAAGTACAGCAGTTTATGCAAACAGTACTTTATGAACCTTCAAATTGTTTACATTTAGCAGTTAGAACAATATGAGGGAACTCTTGTTTCCTTGTAAATGTACCATTTACTTATTTACACAAAAAAAGAGAGGCAGGAAATGGTGCGCATCTAATGATCTTTCAGAGTCAAACATACTGAGTGTGTGAAGCGAGCTAAAAACACTCATTATTTATGTTCTTCTAAGAGAACATCACTTCAAAACTTGCACTAAGATAATTATCAACAAAAGCTAAGGCGTTTTGATGTTCTGAACGAGGGCATTATTGAGAGGTTTACCATTACAGGAGAAGCCACTTTCACTGTGGTGGTGCCTGGGGAGACAGCCACTGTTTTGAGGATGGTGGCACCCGCGGGAACATTGAGAACGGTGCCTCCAGAAGCGGGTGGGATCTTCTGTGTGGCTGCAGCTGCAGCAGCTAAAGCTGCCATGCCACTCATCTGAGGGCTACTTCCAATTGGCTGAAAACAGAAGAATTTTGTTATAATGCTAAATATATTAAGGTTTTAAGACGTTAATACACTTAAATCAGGAAGTTTGAGTGTGAAATGGCTCGTACCGATCCTTGGGTGGTTTGGGTAGGCACTACCATTCGAACACCTGGAGGAAGGGACGTCATGGTGACGGGGGATTTCCCCGGCTGGCTCGGGCGAACTGTGACAACAGATGCGCCTGTGGCAGCCTGTTGAGCTGCAACCTTTAAAACAGCTGTGAACCAGCAGAAGGCATGGAGTTGAGACTTCATTTTTTGTTACCCAGCAGAGTTTCTTTACATTGCAAGCTGAGCGCTGGTCACCTGTCTGTTGTAAACTCTGCGCGGAGGGTGCTGCAGCGGCTGGTGCAGGGCTCTTTGGAGAGTTGATGGGTTGTGAAGGCGTTGCGCTCGTGACTGGCGAGGCTGCCGCCGGGGTCGCGGGGATGTCATACTTCTGCAGCTGCAGCAGGTACGTGTCGGCGGTGGAGACTGCACCCCAGCTCACCTCCAGAGAGTTTGTGTTGGCACGGACTAACTGGACCCTGGCGGGAGCGTGGGGCCGCTCTGCAGGACGAACAGCAATAGTAAGATGTCTACCAACTTTCCAGGCAAGCCACAAATAATTTGTTACAACATCCTCACCTGTTTCCAGGTACCAAAGGTCTTTACAGCACACTTGGTTGTTCCACGCTTTCCGGTAACCGTCACGGCCACTCCAGACATACAGTCTGGAATTGATGGCCACGGCACAGTGGCCGGCACGGGCCCTGGGGATATTATCCTCCAGGGTATCCATCAACACTGTTTCCCAACACATGGAGTCTGCAGAGACACAACACCTTCAGCACTGAAACAACTTCAACTCAACCGCTTTACAGTGGGAAATGTTACGGAGGGAGACAAACCGAGATTTAGGCAAGCGAGTGTGTTTGTGCATTTCCATTCTTTCTCGTGTGTGGCCACTTTGACGTCATCCATTACCAAAGGAACCCATCCGCCAAAAACGTACATCCTGCAAAGTGAGAAAATCCAAACGGTGTGAGACACAGTTCTATTAGCAAAAATGTAACGGTCTAAGTTTTAAGGAGAACAGATGTGGCCTTCATACTTGTTTGTGATTGTGGTGGCAGAGTGAAGACTTCGTGGAAGAGGTGCCGTACCACCTACTGAAGGTTTGTTCCAAGTCAGGGTATCTGGCAACAGAAAATAAAAATTCAATGAATTTAAGTAAATATTGCAACCTGTTTACAGTCAAAGTTGAGTGCTGACTGGGTCATCTCATCCACTCAGAAATGCACATCGACTGCTGACTAGTTTTTACAGGTCCTGTATCAATTTGTACTCAAAGGTTATGCATTTCCAACAGAGAATTCTACATAATTCTGTACTGTATAACAAAATGTGGTTTTTCAGCTCAGTGAATTATATAGTTACATGAGGGAACAGTTATTTTAGACTAAATTGAGGACTCGCAGCTCAAATGAAAACATTAACAGATCCAAACAGAGACCAGAAACAAAATAAATGGAAATTGGATGCAATATAAATTTGAAAAATTAGAAATATAAAACTGATGGGGAACAAAACATTTTATTTGCAGGTATGTAATGAAAGTAAAAACCAATAAAGTGACTTTGAGCAGGTACGAAACAGTGGGTAAACCTGTCGACTTGACCAGAAGCATTTTTTGTTTTGTTTATTAAATTATCTGGCAGACACCTACCTATGTCAAGAGTCCACAGATCTCCAAGACGACAACCGCTCATTCCTCCATAGATTATCAAGCGTGACTTCCTGGTCGTCTTTTCTGTGTACACCACAGCGGTGTGACTCTCGCGAGGAGGAGGCAGGACGCCATATGTGATTGGAATATCCCACCCGACCACGCTAGAACCAGGTCGAAGCTCGAGTGTGTACAAATCATTTAGGTATCTGGGGGGAGAAAAAAGGCAGATATTCAAAAGGCAATTTAGTTGGCTAAAATAGACTCCTGTGTCAGTAGATTGTGGATGCTTCTAATGCAACGCTTCCTTACCGGGGAATGTTGTTTTTGGGGTCTTCACTATCATTGGCCAGTCCACCAAACAAGTAGCATTTGTTGCCAACGAGCGAAAAGCTGTGACCGAGTCGAGGACAAGGCGGTGGGCCATTTTTTGGATTTTTGGCTTTCAGTTTTTTCCATTCCCATCTGCTGGCCTGTTACAAACATCGTGGTTTTACCGTGATTATTCTTTTACATTAAATTAAAAACATAAGTTATGAAACATAATTTATTTTCTTTTTCTGAGACCACATGTTTTGGATTTTTTTATTTTTTTTTAAAAGAGGGATTACCTGTAGTTCATAGAGATCATTGCTGTATTTCCCATATTCCACCATCCCACCAAAAACCAGCAACCGTGTTCCATCACATACAAAACCATATGCAGCACAACCTGGAGGGATATCACCACGGACTGCTGGGATAAACCACTGGTTTGTTGCTGAAATTAAACAGATTTTTTTTTCAGTTTCATAAATCTATATATACATTCACATACATATAAATATAACACACACACACACACACACACACACTGTAAGTAAGACCCTAAATAGGATTGGAATGTAAACTCTAATCAGGCTTTAGGGATGTCAGCACATACACACCAACAGTAACGGCTAAATTTATTTATCTCAGTTTTATGAACAGGAAAGTGGGACACAGGATGTGCCTAAACCAACCAGCATCATCCATTTTATTTTAGCCCGCCTTTTTTGAATGTGCAATAACCCGTCTTCTCCAGCAGAGGGACACCATATTATTCAAACAAGGGTTTGTTTGGCCTGGTGAGGCCTGCTCACAACTCAACTTTACACATCCCAAATTTGAATTAAACTTCAAAGTTCCAAGCAAAAGTTGTGTGAAACTACTGTGAATATCATTACTGGTGAAATAAACTAAACTTTACACCTGCTGCAGAAACTAGTAAGCGAATTTCAACATGCAAGCCGAAACTTACCTGTGTTGTATACATGTAATTCATCAACAATTCCTTCGTTTCCACCTCCAAAAACAACCATCAGTTCCTTTATAGCCACAGCTCTGTGTCCGTGCCTGGGCCGAGGGACCGGACCGGACCATCCGAGGACCCGCTTCCATCGCGGCTGCAGAACCGACGGAGTGGTCCCAGACACCGCGGAACCAGGGGCAGACATGACTTCTGCAGCAAAGAAAAATAAAACACGTACTTCAACGGCTTGTAGCTATTGCACCATTTTCATAACAACAGCCCCATAAACGCATCGGCCGTATATGAATGCACAGTACCGAACCACACGCGACTGTTGTTGCGGTCAAAGCAGCTGGAGCGCTAAATAGTTAGCTGTTAGCTTCGCCTCGGATTAACTCAAAACCAAAAACAAGTGCAAAATGTTTTCAGACATTCCTTACTTATATTCCCCGATGTAGACTCGATGCTTCAGATTTCTCTGAAATGCATAACCCCTTTACACAAAGTTATTTGCAGCCATTGATATCAATTTATGGAAGCAGCCATCTTGCAAACAAACAGCCGCCGCTAACTCTGCTACTCGACTGAAAAATGGCGGAAGCGAATTAACAAGCAAAATATATGTAAACTAACACGGTGCACGACCACAGAAACGCGAAACAAGCAAAACTAAACTCACTTATTGAAAACCGGCTAAACAAACAGAACAATACACAGCGGCAATAAGTATTTAATTCAATTTTTTATCGTTAGCAGCAGTTGGCTATTTTCATGCCTCTCTGGGAGTCGCCATATTGTAGCTAGACAAATTAGCATTTTTACAACGGCTTTAACGCAGTTATTGTTGAAAAGAAGACGCCACGACATTAAAGAATGATACATATTAGTCAGAAAAGGTAAGTTCTCAACTGCCTGTAAGGGATTTGCTCAAATAAACAAAGATATACATGCTATGGGTGTAGCACTCAAACTGACTGTTAGCCATTGCTTCGTTGCTTTGCCGCTAGCTGCTCAACCTAATTTAGCAATGCTAGCAGGGTTAGCTTTGCGGCTAGCATCTGTCAAAGCGTCGCCAAGAGTCATAATTAAATTCGACGCAACTTTCATCAAAACTCATATGCATTACATACCCAGTAAAAATATAGTTGCGGTAACACTCTCAAAACCTAGCTAAATCTAGTCTAACAGCACAAACACAGTGTTATTATGTTTCACGCCGTCTCTGGAAGCAGCCATCTTTTCGACAGTCGGCCTACTTCAGCGGCTCCCTCAAGAAAAATGGCCGGGCGCTTTGCCACAACAAAACACAACAAAGCCGGAAAAGGCGCAAAAATTAATCAGTCTTACTCACTTAATCTGATGCAGTAGATGCAAAAACACTAGTATGTGCTCTTATCTTGAGGCAATAATCCAAATTCATTCGATTTGTGAAGAAGTATTTCCTCTCATGCCTGCCTGGAAGCTGCCATCTTCTTGACAACCAGAGGCGGAGGAAAATGGAAGCGAGCTAGCGTCACCCAAAGTAAACATGGCGACAAAAACTCGCTCGATAAGCATTTCACATTCTAACAAATATACCCTTATTTATTATAGGTATTATACGTTAGGAGAGGGATTTCTGTACGCTTATATTTTGCTCCCGTTTCTAGGAATTCTCTTAGACGTTGTTATTTAAACACTTAAAGAGTTTGAGCAAATGATAGCAAGTTCTGTTACAACTGTAGGGTTATTGTCCCTTACTAAAGATGGCGACATCCGTACTGAAACCCTTTTTTTATTTTCCCATCGTGGGCAGTGTGGAGTTTATTAGTGTCAAAACCCCCTTGGTAAACCTCATACATGAGAAACAATAGTGAATACGAGCGAGTTTACTAAATTACCGCTCTCAAATTTTAATGTTGACACGCCCACGTATAGCCTACCGTTAGTGCGCCCTCCACTGATTCACTGCACCACGGAAACGTATCTAGGAATAATAAATTGGAGCACATATGTCAAACTCAAGGCCCGTGGGCCAAATCCGGCCTGCCGTAGCTTTTTATGTGGCCCTCTGTATTCTAGTCTAAACACTAAGTGTGCTTAAACATTAAGTCATCAATAAAATCAATGTTCTTTTTATCTGTTTACTGCCAAATTATATCAATCAGTCCCTCCAGCTCCTTAAGAGTTATTGTGGAAATCCATGCAAAGTCAACAAATTCCTCTCACATTTTTTGCACTAATAATTGGGAGTTCATTGCAGATTTTTCTCTCAAAAATTGTCAAAAACATTCTTACTTGTACTAAACAGCTGCCTTAGCCTTTAACTGATGTCAGATTATAGTCCATAATCTATACAGTCTGTAATAAAAAGTCACACTTACTGTCATTGATATTAGTGCAAATATTACAAATATTTCCAAATTAGTGTCACAAGCACTTTGTTTTTTATTGCAAAAAATTACAAAAAGAATGGAGGGACAGAAAAGATGTTCAATAATATTTAATTTTAGGAATTCATTCATATATTAACAGTTTGTGAACTGGTTTTATCAATACATTCTGGCACAACCGGCCCTTAAAGAGCTTTCATGATCTTGATTTGGCCCAAAACAGGGATGTGTTTGACACCCTGAATGCGCTATGGCACGGCTTGTTGATTAGATGCAAATATCTATAGAAAATTATAACTTTTAAACACATATTAAACAGACTTTGTTTTTTCTTAGCCCCATATTTCAGTACTAAATTTATTTATTTTTTAATTACTTGAGCTAATATTAAATATAATACTTGGACAAGTTTATGTGGGTGACCCAAAGCAACTTATAAGTGGGGTAGTGTCTCTCTCTCTCTCTTTTGACATTTACCATTATGATAAATTTGTTTATTTTTTAAACTTATTTATTTAATTGTTTTCTTACTGCTACCCATTTATTTGTTGTTCATCTGTTAACTTATCAAAGGCCATTTTTTGTCCTCTTAATTCAGAAAGAATGGCATTTTATTCACTTGTTTCACTATCACTATCACACAGTCCATTAGTTTGTTTACTTTCTCAGTGACTAAGCAATTCATTTATTTCTTTATCAAATATTTTATTTGTGATTTTACTTTCTTGCTTACTACATAGCTTTGTTTATTTAGTAATGTTATATAAGGGTGAAGCCTAGCAATTGATGTGAAAAGTAGCTGTGATTTTATTTTTGCTATAATCAGCTATTTATTCAGTTATTTATTTATTTACTAGTATTCTTATCAAATAAAAATATTTGCCTGCTTGCTTAAATGCTTACGTCCCAGTTTTAATACAATACAATACAATATAATGGTGAAACTTTGTAAAGAAGTAGCTAGGACTGTATTGATGTATTTATTGTTTACCTAAGAAATAACTAATTTACTTGTTCAATTACTTATTTATGTAGGTGGACTTTGACATTTTGGTTACATGTGCATTTTCTGTGGCAGCATACTGTTTAGGTTTTCAAACTGGTCAACTAAATTACTCCTACTAAGAAACTTCCTGATCCAAAGTGATATCACGGCCGAGGTAAAAACAAATATTGCGACTGTACCCGATTTAAACATTGCAGTTCTTTCAAAACAACAGATGGGTCATGTGTCACAAAAGTCCTTGGATTTTTCTGGTAAGTAACGAAGTAACGACCTTCCCATTCCTCCTATTTTCTATACTTACTTATTATTGCAGGAGTGCGGGAGGAAGAAGCAGGGGTACGGTAGGGTACCTCGTAGCCCTAAAAGATTTAGCGGGGGTACGCACCTGCAAGAGAGGGGAGCCTCTGTCTGCTGTAAAAAAT